CGAGGCTTGTAAGAGAAAACTCAAGAACCCGAGATTAGCCTGAGGGGGAAAAAGTGGGGACGTTTACCGAGGACAGCAAAAGGTTTAAATTTTCAGGGGGGTTTGGGGGGAGAGGAAACCCACAGGGGATGGGTTAGAAAGGGGATACCAAAGTGGGGGGACTTTTTTGAACAGGGGAATAAGAAACACGGGGGAAAGTCCCCTTGGGGGCCCGGAGTTTGGAAAGCCATGCATGGGGAACCTTCTGTCTTTTGGGGTAAGGTTTTCCCCTTTCTTTAAAAATAGACCTGAAAACGGCGAGAGTACAAAAGGGTGAGCCCCCATGACATTTTAAGGAAAAGAGGGAGATCGATTGCAAGACGTATTTGAATGGTCTTTGGGCCCCACAAAACTGGGCATTGGGCGATAAAATCTGCAATATTTCGCTGGATGGCCAATCGCCAGCAATTTTTACACTGTTGTGGTGTAGGGATCAAACCCTTTTGAACTTGTAACCGTTTCCCGCTATATAAAAAAAATGAAAAGGGGGAGTTCTGGCTGTCCAAAAATTAAAAAAGGGCCCCATTTTCTAGGGTATTTCTCCGCCCACGGGCGGGGAAGAAAGTAAGTGTCTACCTTGAGGGTTGGGAGATCTTGGGGTTCCCCGCTGTTCTAGGGGGTTGGGGGCCACATTTTTCTGGAAATTTGTTTAAAATATGGTATGGGGCAGAATAACGGTACCCCTTCAAAGAATTGAGGGAAAGAAAGTTTTTTTAAAGGGGGAAGGAAAAGTAAACCCTTTTGGGAAAGACGAGAGAGCTACGAGCCTGGGTAGGGATTTGTAAAGTTTAAAGATGCGCGTGCCGCCTTTAAAAGCTGAAAAAAAATTTTCTTTTCCCAAAATGGGTTTGGATGCCTTTGCCAATTAAAATGGTCAGGGGAAAAATAGGGAGTAGAGAAGTTGGTCGTAAAATGAAGAATTTTGTCCACTGTTCGTCTGAAAAGGCGTGGAAAAAAGGTTTGTGAAGGGGCGTGTCGATCTTTTCGAGAAAAACGAGAAAGGTTTAAGGTGGGGAAGTTCATCAGCCCGGTTAATTGTCGTTTACTTTTTTGGGGGGGGCCCGAGTTGGGCCGACGTGGAACGGGTGGCGAATTTAAAAAGCCCCACCGTTTGGGGGGAGGCCGGGGAACATAGTCAGGGGGAGAGCGAAGGGCTGAAAATCGAAGGGGTCAGTCGAGGGTCAGTACCTGAAGAGGGGGTGAAACACACCGGGGGAAAAGGTACAGAGCCCTGAGGGAAAGCGAAGGTGGTCCCCAAAAACAGGCGGGTCAGAACGGGGGGCGGGCCAAAAAGGGGCCCGGGGGTAAAGGTTTATGGACAAAGGGTGCCAAAGGGTTTGGTTACTTCTTTCTTTTTGTTTTTAAAAAAAAAAAAGAAAGAAGAAAAAAAATAAAAAGAAAAAAAAGAAAAAAAAAAAGGGGGGGCCGGGGGGGGATATTTTCCAGGAGGAATGAAAGGGCCCAAAATCTCCCTCCGCGCCCCAAAAAGGGGCCGAACCGCTTGGGACCAGATGCAGCATGGAACCTGCCATACCCTTTCCCTTTTATGCCCAGTAAACCCAATCTGGGGTAGGAAACCCACAATGCCGAGTACCCCGGTGGGCAAAAAGGGGGCCGGTCCGGGTTTCCGCCACAAAAACATACCCCCTTCAGCCACCAAACCCCCCGGGAACCCAAAGGTGGCTTCCGAGATTTCACCCGTCGCCCAAAAGACACCCAAAGCTACTCCGGGGTACCCGGGAGGGATCGGGAAAATCCCCAGGCAATCCAGTTCCCGGCAAAAACCCCCCGCCAAGAAAATCAAGGAAGGGATCCCACCCCCCGGGGTCCCTTTTCCCCTACCTAGGAATAGCGTGCCCGTGGGAGAAATCCCAAAGGACAAAAAGAGGGAAGGGGAAAAGGGGGGAGTGGGGAGGGGAGGGGGAAAAGGGAAAAAAGGGGGGGGGGGGGGGGATGGATAGGGGAGGGGGATTGGGGGGTAATTTTGGGTTTGGGCTGAGGAAGAAGACCGATAGGTCTAATTCCTCAGACCAAGAGCCTCTTCACCACGCCAAGGAGCCCCCCTTGAAGAGGTTGCGTACTGTAGTACACGGTTCGCCACCAGGTGTAAGCAAGAGCAGGCTCAGAAAGCGTCCTCTCAGCCCGCAGGTTGAGAGACGAATGATTAACAGTGTATTGACGTTTTGTAATATTTTGTCAATGTTTTATTATAAAATGTTCCTAAACATGCTATAGATCTAGCTATGTGATTATATCTATTGTGGTTAAGGAGATAGGGTTATATGATTTATTATAGCATGTCTTGGTGCATTTTTGTAGTAGGACGACATGTGGGCCACGAAGCTCTTATCTGATTTTTATTTATGCATGATGAACGGCCTAGGTGGCTCGAAGTGTATATAGCGACCGTCGGAATGTTTACCAATTCATATGATGTACTGTGCTTACGAATTCTATTTTGGATACCTGTTTAAGGGATAGTGGTTTTCTATGTTTATTTTTGGTTTTAATAAGTTTTAAATTTAAAAATATTTTGGTCCAAGCCCACTCCATAGGCCTCCGAGGCAATCTACTATCCTTCCTTAAAGGAGATAAGAACTTTGGGACGATTTGAATTTTGGAGTAGAGGCGAAGGGAAGGTAGTTGAGGTCTTTTAGACAAGACTCATTCGAAGTAGACAAGACAGAAGCGCTGCGGTTGCGATCCAAGGCCAGGGCTGCAAAAGTTTGAAACTGGCGAGTTGTGACCAGACGAGACAGCAGGTGCCACCGAGGTTGGAGGGAGTTTAGAAGACCGAGGACAAAGTCTGAAAGTTTCCCCTTTGAGGCAGAGAGGAGATTGCCATGACGCAAGTGAAGCCTGAGCCGATTTTTAGTTCTTTGAAGTAAGCTTGTAATGAGAAGAGCTTTACAATTAAGAAAATGGAGGCTGAGATTTATTGGTGTGGTAGGCAGCACCACAGACTGAACAATCTGCCATGGACCTGCAGTATTCCGCCAGATGGCAAAATATTAAAACAGGACGGAAGCTCACTAGTCGAAAGGTTAATCAAGCAAGCTACACTGCAGATTTGTCAAGCAGGTTGTACGTATGTGCCCACTTTGAAAATTGGAGTTTGAGCTCTGGTTTTCTCAGCATGTCGTCACAACTGGAAATGTTAATCAGTGGTAGAGGACAGAACTACAGCAACAGTGGCAAGTTACAGAAACTTGCCATGTTAAAAAGAATTTTTATAGAAATTTCAAAGAAAGCCTGGCCAGCATTCCGTATTGACGCGTGCACCACTGAATAGAAATTTAGAAACTGTGCAAGAGTGCTGTTACAAACTAGTTTAATGTGGTTTTTATACATTGTCACAAATGGGATAAAGCAGAGCAATGAAAGTAAACTCAAAAACTCTGGTATTTATGTACAGTAATACCAAAGTGTACAGCACTTTGTAAAAAGAGCCAGGAGGATGCCTTAGTCAACCAGCAGCCCCCCCCCCCCCCCCAAAAAAAAAAAAAAAAAAAAAAAGTACGGCAGTTGTCAAGCGAGCCACACACTTCATAAGTTTGGCTGGTTTTTCTAAGTGGCCAATGAATCGAGGTACTAATAATGACTGATCCTATTTAGGACTTCTCCCAACCAGCACCTGGTTTTCTGGTTGGGAGGCAGCCTATATTGGAATGAGAATTTAAGTTTCACTTACCATGCCACAAGTGCCTTGATACTATCAGGACTAAAATTTTACCCATTTTGTACTGGAAGTTAGTGTGCAAGGAGTGTCATGTTGGCCACTTCTTGGTAGTTTAGCAGCGTAATCCGTTAATGGTCTTTGGGCGAGACCGAAGTTTGTGAAAATGGGTGGGCGATCTGAATTTTCGCACCTTTGAAGCCAGAAACACGGGCAAAGACTTGCGGAGGTCTGATATATGAAGTAGTTATCCTGTACCAGGAGTTATGTCACTCAGAAGCTACCAGGACCTTAGAAAGATTCAAAACGGTGATACGATAATGAAAGATAGTCCTACGAGGGTGCTGCAGCTCCCTCAGCCCCAGGAAGAGTAATTTCGTAGGACTTAGGGAACTAAGAAGTAGGAAGGGGAAAATGGTTCATAGGAACGAAAGCGATGCAAAACCCTCCCCCTTCCGCACCCTTAAATACTTCAGTGCAGCCTTTCATGCCAACAAGCCAGTAACAATAAGTTCGCCCACTGAGCCACCTTCTGAAGAAGGTGGGGAAGAGACAGGTATACCATCGTCAGTAGCAGAGTTTTGGAAAGTAGAGCCTCTAGAGGAACTAATCACTGAGGAAAGCCACTTCTCAAGCGTTGATCGGGAAATAAAGATTCTACGGCAAACTACTGGTTAGGGTCTGAATGGAAAGGGAAGGACAAAGATGTTATGTAGATTGACGAGGAATGATTTACATGGGGAAAAAAAAAAAAAAAAAAAAAAAACCACACGAAGATTGGATATAGGAAAATTCAGGGCGGAGGGGAGGTGGGTGGAAGGAAGGACCCCGAAGTTAAGGAATAAAAGAAAGTGGTGCGAGTGTATAGATGGGTTTACTGCAAGGAATCGTCGTTGAAGATGGTAGACGTAGTAGCACTAGATCTGCTAGGTAGTTAAATTTGGGAGGTAGGACTTTTTTTTAATGTTTGAGATATATACACAGAACTGTTAAAGTACGTTTGGGACACTTATTTCAGTAATAAAATTTAAGTTAGTTATAGTAAAATCTGAATTTAAGGAAGATGCAAAGTATAGGTAGGTGGCAGAATTTATTTTATATAGTCAATAGTTAGTGTGCTGGTTTACAGGTATGGTAGTCTAAGCAGGTATCGAAGCAGCATTTCTGGGCACGAGGGCAGTGACCATCGTGAGGACATACCTGGAAAGGAGAAATTATGAAATTGAGAAGGAAAGGTGTTTTTTCAATTTAAAGTATTAGTTGGCAATTACGTTTATGAACTTACTGGGGGAGCGGCAAATGCTCTGCGAGAAGTGCACGTTGTCAAGGCAGGAGGACATCTACCAGGGTGCCCTAGATAATACAGGGTTACTTTATTCTGTTTAATCAAGGTAAAGTATGGCATAGTTAAATTAAACCAATACAACAGGGAAAATTGAATAGGAAGTTTGAGGTTTAACTATACGTACTTTGTTCCCTTATTATTGGTAGGGATTCTGGTCCACAACAATAGAAATCTCCTCTGTGAGGACCCGCAGGTTTACGGCAGTAGTAGTTGCATGGTTCATGGAAGTTTTCAGAATCGACTGGTGGGCGAGGAAGTATTAATGCTGCCAAGTCATCTTGTGGGCCATTAGCTAATAAGAGTGCGTCTACATTCTCTTGTGGTTCATCTTGCACGTCTGGCTGCTCGTCATTCTGTGGTTTACTTAGCACCGAGGTCACGACCAGCAAGACTAGGAATAGCTGAACGAAATTTAAGTAATTAAGAAGTAAGGGGGAGACGTTGGCAAGCGTGTGCATTAATGAAGACGTTAAACAGACTTCATGAAGAATTGTTTTGAAGTAAATGTTTAAGCAAACTTTAGAACTAAGGAGTTGAGACTAATAAGTTTGTGAGCAGTTGCGACTGTGAGTAGTCCTTTAATTTTAATAATTACGAACATAATGTATATTATGGCACATGTACGTCTTAATTGTTTTACTGAAGGAATGGAAGCCTCAGCATCACAGGTTTAACAATGCTAAAAATAGCAAGCAAGTTCGTACAATATATAATGAGGTGGAATTTTTACGAAACTTAAGAAAAGGGGCAGGAAGTCTAGAGATCACGGTAATGCTGGACTAGTAGCGGTCTAGGCCAGTGTCAGTCTGAATTGTACAAGAGTTCCGCTTTACTAGTACGGAACTAAATATATAATGAAGTAAGCTACTTCAAAGGATGGGTAAGTTGTCGATTACTGAACCGACAGTTCACTGGGTGGCAATGTAAATGCGTGAAGGGTTACTATAATGAAAAAGGGCTAAAGGGGAAGGGTTCGTGATGCATGAAAGTCATTAAGTACTCGTCGCGTGCTGTAACAATTTGGAAAATGATATGCAAACCAGTTAATTAGTATAGACTTTAGGTGTAGGGTAAATTTAAGGCGAGATCGCTGGAGTATTTAAATAAAAATTTATGCAAATCCCGTATGAAGTTCCATGTTAGCCGACTAATGCAAGTGTTATAGGGAATATTGAGCATATGGAATAAATCTTATTTTAAGAGGCTAGTTTAGTATATTAAAGGAAGGATAATATAAATGTGTGTGTGTGTTTACAGTTGTCAGTATATTGATAGTAGGGTAATGTGTTTATTATGCACCCTATCATACTCACCCTGTAGGCGGTAGTCAAAAGATTACGCAGGTACATAATGGATCCAGGGACTAAGCCCAGAAATTGTGATAGCTGAGCAAGTTAACAGTCCCTGGACCCCAATATGTACCTCCGTAATCTTAACTACTGCCCACAGGATGGGTATGTACTAATGACATTTTGAAGCTCTAAGCAATGGAATAAAGTAATAAATATTTAAACCAGTAAGAAAATGTAAGTTTCATCTAATGTATTCATATGAACCACTAATGTTTATATAAATAAAATAATATTAACCATGATGTATAAATAATATAAACTCTGATAAAATGAAATGAACTGAAGGGATGTTCCACTGGAATGAGTGTAGGTTACACCTCACCGCTTATATACCCTCACCAGAGGTGTCTATCCTCCCCTCCCCACCCCTACAATTACCCTCTGCCCACCTTACCTACAAATTGCTGAATTAATTGGTCTGTAAGCCTATCGACTACTCAGAGTCGTTAAGGCTTCAATCAAGGAAACTTTAATACTTAACACTGATATTAAAGTGAACTCTATATATATATATATATATATATATATATATATATATATATATATATATATATATATAAAATATATATATATATATATAATATATAATATATATATATAATATATATATATATATATAATATATATATATTATATATATATATATATATATATATATATATATATACCACTCAGTTTATGTTTTTTTTTTTTTATATTTTATTTAAAACTCAGGTACAAAAAATATATGGGTACATAATCAATATGTAACAAGATACAGGCAGTAAAACGATAATCTGCAGTGACTTTTTTTTAGATTTTTATTTAAAACAACATAATACATTAAATAGATAAAAGAACACAGTATCAGTTCTTACTCAAAATTATAAATCTCATTGTCTAAATGAACACAGACGATTAACGTTGTGTTGTCACAACTGTCCCTCATCCCATATACATTACATCCAATGTAACTATGTTAAGTAAGATTACACAAGATAACATAACAATATTCATCATTATTATTATAACCAAGGAAAACCCAAACCTACAATCTGCATTATTTTTTCCACTTTGTTATTTATATATTATTTTTTTTTTATATTTTATTTAAAACCAATACAGTTTAACATAAAAATAAAGAAACAGTATGGAACCTAATCAAATTAACTGACAAACGGATTGTACCTACATGCTCGCAAGATATTACAACAAAAACTTACATCAAGAACATTACTAAAAACAAAATCCATTCCTCGCCCAGCTGCCGGTGAGGGTGGACGTTTTGCTACTCCTCTCTGACAGGCGCAAGTGCTAGCCAGGCTGTCACAATGGTGGTTGGGGTGAGACGCAGAATTAACACTGTCGGCATAGAATTACTGAGAGGTACAATTAGTCAAGATTCGGCGTTGACGTTGTTGCCTCTGATTATTCGAGAGACATATGGGATTGAGGATTGCGACCTTTACGGTGTAGCCTTAAATGGAAACTACCGAATGTTCGTGAAACTGCTGTCATCACACGTGTATGAGGATCTACTTGCTCAATATCAGGATGTTGCTATCGAGGTTAACGAGGGCATCCTGGTAAAGATGGTCGATGTTTCGAGTCAATTTACGTATGTAAAGTTACTAATGGCCTTTCGAGCAAATGAAGCTGACCTACGTCGTAGTGTTTCGGGAAGTTTGGAACTGTACACGTAGCTCAACAAGGCAAGTGGACGGCAGGGCTTATGTGGGTTATCCGGAAGGTAGTTTTACCCTAAAGATGACTCTGAGGCAACCTATACCTTCGTAATGTGTTCTTAGAGAATTTAGGCACAATACTGTACTTAGTGAGCCAACGTAGAACTGTAGACTGGTGTGGTTATGATCAATAGCGGCTGCAATGTGTGCGGCGGAGACTGGCCAGTGGAATACCAAGAGTGACATTCCGAGGCGAGGACCTACAGTGACAGATCAGAACCGCCAGGATGGACGTAGGTGGTGGTCGGTTGTGGAGTGAGGAAGTGGAGGAAATGCAACGTGAGGTGGAGCATGAGGGTGCAGTGCAGCAATTGAGTGCGTCTGCTGAGGAGTGTTGATCCACGAGGCGGAAAAGGACGTACCAATGACGTAGAAATTGAGTCGTGCTTGACAGTTTTGCAGGAGATGTTCCCTAAATCGGAGGAAGCCTTGACAGAGGTAACGACGGGAGACCAGGTACAGGTTTTCAAGGGAAGCATGCGGGTCTGAAGAAAGGAATGTAATGTCGGCTTGGCCAAGTAGTGAGAAGGGGAATGAGGTGATAGAGGTGGAGGTGCACATGAGGAAGGTCAGGAGACTAGCATGGCGGAAGAGGAAGTGTCGAGGAAGCGGGCAGCTGTCACGTCTGACTCGGATGACGTCCTCACTCCAGCACAAAGACCAGGGAAAAAGGCGGGGATTGAAGGTGTGTGTAGAGGCACAGAGAAAAAGAAACGCCAGCAAGGGGTTAGGAGTGGAGGTGATGGGGTGAGTGTCAAGGACGGTGTGTATGAGGTTACTGGACAGCGGAAAAATGTGGTGGGGAAAGGTGGGTGGAAAACGTAAGCAGGCCTAAGGTGTATGACAATTAATGATTAATGGTTTATGTAAAAGTGGTAAGTGTGTATGGTTGCGAGGACTGCTGTATCGTTACAAGGTAGATGTTGCCTTATACAAGAGCATAACTTGAAAATAGGAAAATTGCTGGAGGTGGATGGATATAGGGCTTCTGTAACTCCAACGACACGTTTAAAAGGTGGAGCAGGTGTTTTAATTCGTGAGGCAAGCCCGTTTGTTTTGCAAAGGTTTGAGGGGGGGGGTGAGGAAGAATAATGAGAGTGGACGGGTGGTGGATGCGTGAACGCGTGTCCTTTGTTGGAGTGTATGCTCCGGCGGAGAACGATGCGAGGGTAAAATCGCATTTGTAAGGGATGATCTGGTGTATTCTTGAGAGCACTGCCCAGGGTTGCATTGATTGGGGGAGATTGGAATTGTATAATACGGAGATTTGATGTGATGCCAGCGGGGGCGGGATATTTTTCAAACGTGTTGCGAGACCTGTGTAGAGATATTGGGGTACGAGATGCATTTTGGGGTGGAATAGGTGAAGTGCAACATACGTATGTAAGGAGGGAATACGCAGCTAGACTGGATAGGATCTATATAACGCAAGGGGTTTCGGTGGAGTCTTTTAACACTATAGAAGCAATTATTCAGATCACAGGGCAGTGGTGGTGGGGGTAGCATGGGACTCGTTAGTGAAACGGTTTGAAAGCTACTGGAAATAAACACGCGACTCCTTGAGGATGAGGAAGTGGAGGAGGGGTTTGCTTCGCTGTGGAGGAAGCTAAGTGAGGAGGCAAAAAGGGTTGATAATGTTGTACGTTGGTGGGACAGTGTGGCCAAGGAGAGGATTCGTAGGTTTTACGTGGGTGAGGGGAAGCGGATAAATCGACTGAAGTATGGATTAACAAATTATTTGGAAAGTAGAATAGGATACTATCATGAACAAGGAGTAGTGGGAGGGGTATTCCAAACAGAGGCAATAGATGATCTGAAGAGCAGATAAGAGAAGTGCAGGAGGAGAGATTTCATGCGGTGCGGTGCAGGCGGGTGTGGAGGAAGTGCTTTGGGGGACAAGCCATCGGCATGTTGTGTTGAGGAGACAACAGCAGAGGAGAACAGCGACCACAATAGCAGATTTGGAAGTGCACACTGAGGTGGAAAGGGTTTAGGGAGGGGCAGGTGTTAAAACAACGGAGGTGATGAGTATGTTCGCGGATGCGTGGTATGGGCATTATTGGAAAAGTAAAGGAGTTAATAGGGAGGATCTTGATGGGGTGTGGTGCTGTTGAGCCGTAGCTCTGGGGAGTAAGGACAGGAAGCTTTGGGTGGTGAGATTGAAGAGGGGGAGATATGGAGAGCGCTTGTAGACATGTGCAGAGGCAAAGCACCAGGTATTGATGGACTACCAAGTGAATTTTACTTAAAACATTGGGATCTGTTAAGGGGTTTTTTAGTAACGCTGTTCAATAGAATGAAAGATGGGGGAGAATTGGGCGAGAAGCCAAAGTACAGGGGTCGTAGTGCTTGTGCCCAAGGGTAAGGGGCAGAGTACACTTAAGGATTACGGGCAATTACTCTCATGTGTGCGGACTATAAATTGTTCGCGAAGATTTTTGGGGAATAGGTTAAAATGTGTAGTGGGACGTGTAGTTTCAAAAGGTCAGCTAGGGATGCCAGGACGGTCGATGGTCATGGGGCACGGAATTCTAAAGGGTTTGTTGAGAGTTTTGAGGGGACGCAGGAAGGAGGGGGTATGGTGGCGATTGATTGGCAGGGTGCTTATGATCAGGTGGAAAGGAGGGTTTAAGACAGATCCTTAACAAACAAGGTTTTGGGGATGAGATTGTGGGGTGGGTTGAAACGTTGTATAAGGGGCAAAAGCGAGAATTCAGATCAATGGACGTGTGGGAGGTGTGGTGAACATGGATAGGGGCTTGAGGCAGGGTTGCCCGCTATCACAGTTATTATTTGCATGTGTGCAAGATCCATTTTATAGGTTGGTTGAGACCAGAGTGTGTGGTGGGGAGAGTCGAGGGAGGGCTTGATTAGCCATCATGTGGTAGGTTACGTGGATGACACGACACTCCTAGTCCGGAAGGGAACAAGATTGGGAGAGTTGGGAGGGGTGGTTGGCATGTTTGGAGGGGCGACAGCATGACAGTAAACGTAGAAAACAAAGATCATGGGGCTAGGGGAGTGAGAGAGACAGAGTTGATTGGACTGTGATGTGGTGAGAAGGCAGGAAGGGCAGTTATTAATATGTGGCATTTTGTATAGAGCGACCATACGGGAGGCTAGGGAGGCGAATTCGTTGAGAATGGTGGAACGCGTGGAACATCGGTTGGGGATGTTTGCGCCTTATCACTTGACATTGTTGCAACGGGCGATTGTTATTACGTATTGCTGTACAGTAAGGTATGGTATGTAGCAGCAGTTTTTCCATTGCTGAGGGGCTGAGATTACTCGTATCCTTAGAAGTGTTTTTAGGTTTCTTATGGGGCTCAGGAGTGAATGGATGAAGAGGGAGGTGGTGACTTTGCCGGTGAGGAAGGGAGGTTTAGGTCTGTTGGACCTGGGAAGGAGGGCGAAATGCATTTTTGTCAGGTGGGAGTGAAAAGATTAGGGGGACAGAGGGTGGCAATGCATGCAAAGGTTACATGATATTTGAGGGGAATGTATGTGGGTGGGGAATGGAGGGAGTGTGAGATTTTGTTGAGGGCACTTTTGTGGGCGCGCGAGCCAGACAAATTAAAGGTGAGGGATTTATATCGAATATTGAGGGTAGAGGAGAACGGCCCCAGTTGAGGGGCTGTTC